TAGACCATCAGCTCCGATTTGGGCCATAGCTTGTTCTTGTGAACCTCGCATGGTAAGAAGACATAGGCACCGCATCCGAAGACACGTAGATAGCTAATATCTGGTTTAGAACCATGCAGAACTTCATATGGAGTGCGCCAGTGAAGTCGTCGCATGGGAGTTCTGTTATAGACATGCGCTGCATACTCGAATGAGAATTCCCACCACGATTGTGGTATGCAAGCATCATGACGCATTGCCTCCCCCTTTTCCATAATTGTGCGAATGATTCGTTCAGCACGTCCATTCTGCTCGTGAATGTTTGGAGCGGAGGGTATTCTCTCAATCCCACGATCCTTGAGCATGTCTGTGAAGGCGGTCAATTTTAGGCAATAGCAAGGGTGTCACTGACCCTCAAGGGTTACCAAGGGTCGAGTGCTAAGGGTCAGATCAAGGGTCACCAGCCCCTGACCCTTGCCAAACCCTTGACCTGTGGTAAGGGTTACGGGTATAAGCGCTTGAGTAAGCGCCCAAAACGCGTATGTATAAACCCATAAATATATTGTGGTATAAGCTGCTATGGTGTAGTGGTTAATGGCTTTTGGGCGTCTGTGCTCAGACCGTGAGGCCTTGGGTTCAATCTACATCTGGAAAAACAGCCTTTGCGAATTGACGCTAATTATCACTATTCAGATAATCTCATCTATATTAGCAAGTGTTAGCAGAGATAACCTCTACATTAGAGCTACTATTCAGACACACTTCTTCAGTAGTGCAATTAAGCACTAATTAGTATACTTGGTACTAGTTATAACTACTCTTCACTATCACTTTTTCTATAGTGCCATGTAGTGCCAACATGATACTATTATAGCACTACTGCAAATGTGGTCCGCCAATTTTCGCTATTTTGCACTACTGTAGTACTATTTTGCGCTATTTTAGCACTACTCATTTAGGGGAGACTCAAATACAATGACAATCCTTTATTTAGCTCATAGTTCTCAACTCAAGCATTACACACCTTTATAGCTGCAAAATCACCATGATAGCTGACTTATATTTGAGGGCACAACTCAACACAGAACTGATTATCATTGTATAGGATTAGGCTGTCAGCATAGCATTTATATCATGAAGCATACTCTATAGCACACTCCATATTATATATATAGTTCTAGACATTACACATATGCAAGTTCCAGCAGGTGGAACTCAAGGTGAGGTGTCACCACTTTGCCCAAGTCCAGCAGTGATGGATATATACAATACTTGTGGGGAGGATCTATATAAGCTCTGGTGGTGCAATGGCATAGAGCACCACCTTGGAACAGGTGTCATATAAAGGTGAGGTTGAGGGTTCAAGACCAGCTGAGGACATTTTTTTCATATATTTTTCCAGCACTTTAAATGCATCCGGGGCTTATAAACAGATGGTTTTGAGGTCATAGAAAGCATCTCTACACCAGTCAGAAATCATAGACCCACTCTATCCACTACTATCAACGTCTACTATAGCACTATTTCCGTCTACTATAGTGCTACTTTGCACGAATTTGCATTGATAGTGCAAAATAGTGCAATTATTTTTGGGGACCTCTCGATTTTGCGCTATTTTTCACTATCCAACTACTGTGTCTATTAAGAGCTAATTTGTACTAAATAGGTGTAATTCACAAAGGTGGTTTTTACAGATGTAGCCTGGTGCCAATCCATTTCTCTGTCGCTTTTCTGTTTGAACCGCTCCCACCAGCTACTATAAGCTACTTACGGTTGTTATTGAGCTCCTTACGGGTTGTTATTAAGGTTACATTGCTGTTTAGTGTGCTGCGGACACTCAGTTAGCTAGGTAAGCAGCGGGTAAACCCTGGGGTTGACCCGTACCCGCCATACCCTTGGTACCCGGTGCTCGCACCCTTGACCCGCTGTGACCCCCAGGTCACGGGTAAGGGTATTTCACGGGTTGGATCGAGGGTCACATAGGTGACACCCGAGGGTAGACCCGTGCCATTGCAAAGTCAATTTCAACTCACCTGCAGAATCAGATTTCCATTTCTGCACTTTGGCATTGAACTGGTTCTCGACATATGCGAGCCATTGCCGTGTAACTTGAAGTGCAGCAGCCTTTGTATGAAGTCCGATAGTCCATACGTGCGATGTGTAGTCGTCAAAGTACAGTATTTCGTGCTTGTACTTGTGGTATGAAGGCACAGGGAAATCTTTGAGATCCGAATGAATAAGCTTGAAAGGACGTGTCGCTCGATGAATGTCAAGCGGATGAGGTTGTGATGGCATTTTGCCTTCAGCACATCCTCGACAGATTGAGTCATGAAGAGGGAATTTAACAAGCGAGCATTTTTCTGTGTGTTTCTGTGCATGTTTCAGCACATCGCGCGAAGGGTGCGCGAAACAACGGTGAAGAGTTTCATAGTCAACAGCATTACTAGCTGCGACAGCATATCGCGCTGATCTAGGCTGCGTATGAGTGACATATATAGTGTCGTTCTCAAAGCGCGGTTTAAACACGACTATAAGCCTATCATTCTAATAGAAAGAGATCTCAGCAGTGCTTGCACGTGCTTCCAATCCATCCTTGAGCAATGCTCCTAAGGATATAAGCTTATACGTGAGGCTGGGTACCATAGCGACGTCCATCAGCTTCAAGGTAGTTCCAAGCTCAGTTGGTATGATGACTGTTCCTTTGCCAATCATAGTAGTAACACAATCTGCCGTGTGTAACGGTTGAGGTGTACTGTAGTAACGGAAGTCGACATAGTCGTGGAGACAGAATGTAAAGTGCATTGAAGCACCTGAGTCGATCATCCATACTAGGTTGGGATCATTGTACTCAGTTGATGTTCTGCCATTTCCTTTGCAGCGTGCGCACTCAGCATATGAAGAGTGGTGAAGACGTATATTATCTTCTGTAGCTAATTGTAAAGGCGTAGCTATAGGTACATCATCGCGCAGATCATCTATTCTACGAGAAGGACTTGCGACACTAGTCACTGCAGAATGCAGGCAGTCAGCATATGTCACAGTTTTCTCGTGCCACGTGACTTGGGGATCATGTGTACTGGGACAGACACTCGCTTTGACCGCAGACAACTCGTATCGGAAAGGAGAGAGGCCAGGATCGAACCCCAGACCTTATGATGGCCGGGAACGCCCATCCTCACTCACTGACAGGTGACTGATGTGATAGCAGGAGCGCTTACTCATTGGAAGGGGTCCGGACTCGGCACAACTCAGATATTAGTTGTAAGGTCACTATGAGGCAGGTCAGAGGGTAGGACATGAGGCAGAGAACTCTGACCAAACAATGGTCAATAGGTACCTGGTCTGTGCACCGTTGTATTAGCATATATAGTAGGGAGTTTGAGGTAGGGAACCTCAGACTTGATCTTCTCGTCGATTCCCCATCTCTTCTGTAGGTAGCTAGCAGCCCTACCTCCCTCACTGCCCCTTCTAGTCTAGGGAATACATCTCTTCACATCTCTTGCTGTGTCACCTCTGGTTGCTTCGCTTCTCAGCACCAACCTCTGCATCAGTAAGCTTTGCCCTTGTTTGTTTTGGTGGCACAGCTCATTGGCTGTGACATTAGATCAAGTCTCTTACCCATCCCCTCCGTGGAGTGTCTCAATCACTTGCGGACCGTATCTCTTCTCCCAGGAGTTTTTTGAAACATTTATCATCCCCCCCCACTATCCTTCCATCTGACTCGGACCTACCGGAGTTTACCTGTCGTCACTTTAAGAGACATGGTCACCTCGACGTCCAGTCCCAAATTGACTGTGCCCTTGCCAACGATACGTCAGATCGACTTTATCATCGCCGTCAGTATCAGCATACCCCAATTGTCCCTCGTCACAGGGCACTCCCACCTTTTATACCCTCTACTCAGCCCCTTGATAGACCACTCGCTATGCGCCTCACCACACCGCCACCACCCTTTGTCCCATCCACCCCTACAATCCCTCTCTAGTACCACATCTCTGCACCACCTCTGCCTTTGCACGTCGTGATCCCACCAACCTCCTCGCTATTGTCGGTTCCAAGGTCAGCGCTATCATCAAAAGACTGCAGGCCATCTTCGATCGCAAGGATCAATTGCTTGACATTCCCCACAATCTGTTAGAGTTTGCCATCTGGCCATCACCGAGTGACCAAATACATACAAATAGCACATCGGTACTGCCAGCTCATCATATACCTACCTGCTCTTTAGTCCGTATGGCGACGAGCCTCTTCGGTTTGTGTTTGAGGCCTGGGTGGGGCTTTGTTCTGTCTGGGCCTGGAGAGCCCTGAGTACCATTTTGGTGCCCTAAACCTCTTGTCTATGTGTCTATGCCTCTCTCTCTCTCGCTCTTCCTTAACCCTATCATTCGCTCTCTGCACTCGCTATCTGTGCCCAATTCACCATCATTGACCAGATCACACCACTGCCACTAACACGATCATCGACTCACCCTTCAACGCATCAGTGATAAGCTTGAGTGGATACTCGACAACATTGAAAACGGTTCTTCGTGGACAGGCAGTCAGTAGCAAAACATCGACTGGTTTTGCAAGGAGTTTGGAAAGGTCAAGTTCAGTGGACTTGGACAGAACTTTGAGCGCATTGTCAAGGCTTTAGTGGAGTTAGAACATTTTGGGTACTTAGGTTGGATCATTATTTAGTTTTGTACATCGGATACCATTGCAATGGCTTCAGGCTCTCGTTACGCCCCTCTGGCAGAGGATAACTTTGAGTCAGATGACCTGGGATCATTCAATCACCCGGGACCATCACATGCACACACCCGCCCGGCTTCACCCACTGCCACGCTTCAAGCGTACCCGGAAATTCTGTTAGCGTCGGTGCCTAATTGCGTCGGACGGACAAACACGGACAAACATTAGCAGTACGACGCTGTAGCCACGTCACTGTACAATCCCCAGTCCGTCGCTATGAAGCCTTCGGTTTGAGCCCAAATCCCCTGTCTGTGTCTGAGTTCTGAGGTGCTGCTGGGCCCTCGTCTATGCTTGATTTCTCTCATTCTAACAAATTCAATGGATCTACGCTGGTGTTGAGTACGACTCGTTGGAAAACGCTGTCCCTGCCCCGGCAGATAGCTTAGGCATCAACAACCAGGCTTACGTCGACTGGACTATCTCCGTGACAAGGGACATCACACGGCGCGAAGTGGTCAATGTCTACAACGTCCTCGGCAGCAAGATATATGAACATCAGAACAATTTCCTCAATGAGTGCGACACCACCCACGCCACCTTCAAAGAGTTGGACACGTCTATAACAGGCCTTCACACCAAGGCTGACACTGCTGGAAACCTCGCTCTCAAAGCTGTGGAAGAGAACAAACAGCTGAAGGCGGAACTGGTCACTGTCAATGCGGACCTGGAGGTTCTCAACTGGAACAACACGGAGCTCGTCAAACAGTACAAGGAACTCGCGGCCAAGTTTACACAGTTGGAGCAAGGTCTGTCGACTCGCACCACACTTGGTATCAGTACCGCCCCAGCCCCTGTTGTATCACAGGCCTGGCATATCAAGGCATCAGAACCACCCAAGTACAAAGGCAACAAAGGCTCAGACATCACTCTTAAACAATGGTTACTGTCACGAACCGCCCTCATGGCGCTACATTTCCTTTTCGATTCGGACCATTGCCTCGTATGTTTCCTTATTGTTCACTACCTGCTATGGTTTCCCTTTGTCCGCACACGGACAATAGCTCCCTTTGTCCCCACGTCCGCTATTGTCCTACATCCCTTGTACTCTGTACCCATGGCGATGCTATTGTTCTCTAGCACCCATTGTTCGTTCCCGGTATATAGCTGGATCCCTTGCTACCTGGAGACTCTAGTTTCAACCTCTTGTCTCCAGGTAAGCCATCATGTATTTCGCTATATAGATACTTTGCTCAATACACAACTTGTCTCCAGTCCTGCCTGTTGAGCTCCGCTCCAGTCTCACTGTGATCAGAGCTCGTCGGCGCTCCTGCCTGCCTCGCTCATCTCCACTTACTCGCTTGACAGTCACTCGTAACAGTTACAGAAGATGGGCCTTTGGTTCCGTGTTCAGAACATCACCACGGACGACAACAAGATTACCCTGGCCCTCATGTACTTGGAAGGCGGTGCGCACAACTATGTCGAGGACTACGTCGAGACGGCATCCAACAGTGGAGCCCTTGGGACCTGGGCCGACTTCACCAACCGACTCAAGGCAGGCTATCGTCAACTGGCTCTGGAGAAGACAGCACAAACATCTCTCGAAGAATGGTGCTCGAAGACTCACTCCACCATCATTCAGTTTGCTGAGAATTTCCACCGCTACGCCTTGAAGTCTGGTTACGCTGATGTAGAACTCATTGGTCATATCGACAACCAAGTTGGCAAGAACTCGCAGATCCTGACAGTCATTACGGCAATGCGGCAAATCAACCCGATGTTGATTCCTACAAAATGAGAACACTACCTGGACTGGGTGCTTAAGCTGGAAATGGAAACTCAGGGAAATCAGGCAAAGTCGTCTTCGCAGAAGCACATGACTACTTGACCTCGACAATGCGTGCGGCAGTCTCAGTTTCCGGTGCCTTGCCTTTGCCTTTTCCCTTGGCGGTCTCAAACTCCTCGAGGGCTCGACGGATGTACTCCCACTTGTCTTCTTTGGGCATATCCATCGTGCGTACCTTGGTCGGAGCAGCTGGCTGTTTCTTCATGTCCGGAAGTTCGTAGTAACCCGTGTACTGAGGGTTGCGACACTTCTGGCCAGTCGTAAACTTGTGCTTGCCACAGTGGAAACAGAGCTTCTTGTCGAGCCATTTGAGTTGTTCCTTGGAGAGCTTCTCCAGCTTGCACATTGCGTCAACATCCATGGCATTGGGGTCCCGTGGGGGGCGACGAATCTGAGGAGGATTTTCTGGAATGGGTATTTTGAAGACTGACCAAAGTATCCGACTCTGTAATCATAGCGTAGACCTAGAGGACTCTTTTGTTCCACGTTCAAATGTTATTTATCTCGCGTCAGCACGTTGCCCGCGAAATTCGTTCGATCTCAAAGTTTCCCTCACTCAAGGTACGCATGAAGTTCAGTCAGAAGCCCTCCTCGATTCAGGAGCCTACTCTTGTTTTATCCACCATCGGTTTGTTCAAGAACATGGACTCACCCTACAGCGTCTCTCTCATGATGTACACATCTTCAATGCAGATGCCACTGAAAATAAGAAGGGGTTGATCACACACTACGTCCGTTGTTTACTCCGTATCGGAGATCACCTGGCTTGGCAGTCGTTCCTTGTCACGGATATCGGGCGGCAAGACATCATCATTAGCATGGCATTTCTACGTGAACATAATCCTGAACTCGATTGGAATGCAGGGAACATTGAGTTTACATGCTGCCCCTCAACATGCACCTGGCACACAGTGCAGGATGAAGAACTACAAAGTTTGCAACTTCCCCAAGTGGAAGATGTTGCGCAAGATCAGTACGGTGACTCCGGCCCTGAATCCTAGGAGAACAACGATCAGTTTATTCATTGGGTGAACTTCTCAGATGACCCGAGTGCGCGTCAGATGCGAGCCAGGTTGGAAGAGAAAAAGGACATCAACCCTGCAACGAAAGGTGAACAGGATCGGGAATACTGGTCAAACCATATACCGGAGCAGTACCGGCAGTATGGCAACATCTTTTCCAAGAAAGCCTCGGAAAGAATGCCAACATGGAAGCCCTACGATCATGCAATCAAACTAGTCCCTAGAACCTCACTCCCTAAGCCAGCCAAATTGTACCTGCTCAACCTCGATGAATGGAACTCGCTTGAAGCTTGGATCACAGAGCAAGAAGACAAAGGCTACATCCGCACGTTGTCAGGCACCAAAATGGATTGGCACCTGGACATGGCTTACAACGAGCTACATAATCATGTGATTAGTAACAATTGGAACCTATCACGTAACCACAGGCGTCAAACATCAAAAAGGCGTAAAACGGTGGGTCCATGTTTTGTGATGTGGCACCTCCCATCATGTCTACCGTCCCCCGACAGACCCTCACAATCCCCGACAAGATGATCCCATACCTCTCGGACCACCTCAACTTGGACAACATCATCCGCTGCCCAGTAATTGTACGCAAGGACTCTCACCATCTTCACTTCCACACTCCGCGGATTCGTGTGCCGGAAACGCACCCATTTGGTCCAATTCCGCCTCCCAATACCCCATGTTGGCTTATCCTTCCGAGCAAGTTAGAGCCGGGTTGGACATTGCCTAAGGATGTACACTTTCTTGGTCGAGTCCTTTGAGTAGCCGAGTATCAGGAGAGCCGCGTCATCGTGCTCGTACAACACATTCAGTCGCCGGCGATCCTTAGCCTCGCTGTACCATACGAGTACTTTGTCGGTGACACGAGTTCCTGGTGGGCGCAAGTGGTTTGGAATGTGGTCAGCAGAGTCAAGATCCTGCGGAAACTGGATAATGAAGACTATCTTCCAGGTGAGCTGTACTGTTTGTCATTCAAGTATAGAAAACTCATAAGTTGTTAGGTGTCCCCCTTAATTCTATCACAAACAATTGGAAGATCAATGACGAGGTTCAGGCCACGTATAGTTCTGTATAGTTACAAAAGGATCAGACAGGACTTGTTTGGTAGTTGTATCAATGGACGTGAAACTGCAGGCTAGAGTGACAACTTGCGTATCTGAGCTTGGATTGATTAAGTGTTTGGGAGAAACATGTGCAGGCTATGATCATAGAACATTCTAAAATGTCCTGGCATATAACTATAAAGGGTAACAGTTGACTAAGCATCTTTCAGAACTGGGGAACAAGGTGGAGAATATTCCAGAACATTACAGAAAGTTTTAGAACATTCCAGACTTTTATGCAAGAAAATGGTCTCATATAAAGCTCATAGGGACTTGCCTGCTTATGACTCTACTAGGCATGACTCAACATAAGACCAATAGTCCATGGATAACATAATAGAATGAGCTAGAAGATCACAGAATATTCCAGCACATACCAGATTATTCTACTAGGTCCTGGAGTATCTCAGGCATGTTGGAGAAGGTTCCGGAAGAATATTAGTAGGGATTAGTAAGCGATTAGTCAGCAATTAGTCAGCGCTTAGTAAGACACTAGAATAGACATATGTAAGCTAGATAGAACATTCTGGAAGGTCTTCAGAAAGGTATATATACCGGACTGAAAGCGCTCCCCAGAGAAGACAATCAGTAAAGAATTCACCAGTTCAAAGCAAGTGTGCTTAAAGCAAGTGTTCAGTAACTGCATAAGCAATTGATAGTGAGGCTAGAAAGTCTAGTTTCATATCAGTTGAGAGTTGTATAGCCTTCCCTAAGAAGGGAGAGACATACTGACTCGGCAGTTGAAGTAAGTATAGTGTTAGTGTTAGTCAGTTGGACCTTAGCAGGATCGGATTCCTGGGGTTTAGCAATTGGTAAAACTCAGGTCAGCTGATAGTCAGAGGGCTAGTCAGCATAGGTAAGACAGGAAGAGTCTCGGATAGACTCGCGGAACAAGCACAGACTGCATAGAACAGCCGGATATAGAGGAAACTCTGCTGGAACAATCAGTACACCCGAAATAAGTTGTGAACAGAGTCTGTGGAGCCAGTAAACGGTCTACATAGTCAGAGTACGCACACACAGTGCCATAAAGCTAGACAGTATTGCACATACTTTTGTCAGAATCGTCAAATACAACCACAACCAACCCAAACTCGACGAAGTCAATTTTGGAAAAACAGGAAACCCCATATACCTTGTGGCAGAGCTTCTTAGGTTTATAGAGAGCTGAGATTCACCCCTCACCCAAACATTTAGAGAGTTGTTACATAAACTCTTCTCACACTCAAACCTCGAGAGGTACGACAACGTCCAAGAGTCCTACTGCTGCCCCAGTCTTCTCTGTTTGTAAGAAGGACAGAAGTTTACATTTGGTACAGGACTATCGTGCACTGAATGCAGTCACAAAGAAGGACAAGTTTCCGATTCCCCGGATCTCAGACCTTGTGAAGAGACTTTCTCACGCATCGATCTTCACCTCACTCGACCTAAGGTGGGGCTACAACAATGTTCGCATTCACGAAGGAGACGAAGAGAAAGCCGCGTTTATCACTCACAAGGGACTGTATGAACCAACAGTTATGACCTTCAGTTTATGCAATGCGCCCAGCTCATTCCAGGCAATGATGAACGAGGTCCTAAAGGAAGAAATTGCGACCGGACATGTTGTGGTCTACATCGACGACATCCTCATCTTCACCGATGACCTCACTCTGCACCACCAACTGGTAGAACGGGTTCTGAAGAAGCTATGCGACAACGATCTCTTTATCAAGCCTGAAAGGTGCAAGTTTGGACAGCCCTCGGTTCACTTCCTCGGACTTGTCGTATCGAAGGAATCAATCTCCATGGACGAGTCTAAGGTGCAAGGTGTCAAGGAATGGCCTACTCCAACCAAAGTCAAACATGTTCAAGCCTTCCTCAGATTAGCCAACTTCTATTGGCATTTCATTAAGGACTTTGCCAAGATTGCCCGACCGCTCACTAAGCTCATGTGCAAGGACATTCCATGGCAATGGGGAGAGGAACAAGAGCAGGCCTTCG